TTTTCTCTCAACCTTATCTGCAAAGGGAGTCTAGCTTTATTGGGGAAGAGAAAACAAAAAACCTACTCTTTCTTGACCTACCCACATTACAATATTACTCGACACAGGAGTCCAAATCACTTTTAATGAGAAGCATCCTTAAAGCCTAAATTACCCCACAAAAATCAAACCATGAAATGGTTGAAATAGTCATTACCAGTGACAAATTTGACAATAGAAGGTATAAGTGTACTCGAGAAAGAGAGATCTGAAACCTAATCTTATGCAAGTCCAAAACTCAGTTGCTAACCCTGAAAATGAGGTTGCATAAATCCAATTACCTCTACTAATTCAACTTGATTATGAATTACCTATTACCTTAAGAAAAGGGACAAGATAATGCACTAAACATAGCAATATATCCATTGCCAAAATCAATGTTTTTTCACAGATTGTCTCCATATCACAAAAATTTCATAGCCAACTTAAACTCTATCCCAGCTCCTAATATCTTGTATGAGGGTATGAGGATTTATTTGATGAGAAGTTGAAAAAAGCTATAAGAATAGAGATGGGGACACTTGAGAAGAATAAAATATAAGAAATAGTAGAGCTGCAACAAAATTAAAAAACAGTGGGATACTTGATGGGAGTTTGCCATGGAATTCAAATTAGACGGGTCTCAAAAGATACAAGGCGAAGTCGGATGCTAAATCCTACACAAATATATAGAATGGATCATCAAGAGACATTTGCACCAGTGTGTCACGGACAAATAATCCCACATCGGCTAGGTGTAGTGCCGAAAAGCAGTATTTAAATCCTGGGCTGCCCACCACCCCTAAGGGCTCTTTTGGGAGGTGACAAGTGGTATCAGAGCAGATTACTGCCTGCCAGGTGTGCGGACTCTCCATGGTCCAGTGGGACCTTCGGTGGAGCCGATCCGTGACGGGGGCGTCACGTGATTGGGTGGAGGAGAATCTCACGGACAAATAGTCCCACATCGGCTAGGTATAGAGCCAAAAAGCAGCATTTAAGTCCTGGGCTGCCCATCACCCATAAGGGCTCTTTTGGGAGGTGACACTAGGCTACTAAAGAGGGAAGCAGACTACTGTCTGTCAGGCGTGTGGACTCTCATGGTCCAATGGGACCCTCGGTAGAGCCGATCCGTGATAAGGGCGTCACGTGATTGGGTGGAGGAGAATGTCACGGACAAATAGTCCCACATCGGCTAGGTGTAGGGTCGAAAAGCATATTTAAATCCAGGGCTGCCCACCACCCCTAAGGACTCTTTTAGAAGGTGACAAGTGGTATCAGAGCAGATTACTGTCTGTCAGGTGTGCGGACTGTCCATGGTCCAGTGGGACCCTCGGTGGAGCTGATCCGTGACGATTGGGTGGAGGAGAATGTCACGGACAAATAGTCCCACATCGGTTAGGTGTAAGACCAAAAAACAGTATTTAAGTTATGGGTTGCCCATCACCCATAATGGTTCTTTTGGGAGGTGACAAGTGGCTAAGATAAATATAATAAGGATTCTTTTGTCCTTAGATAAAAATTTCAATTGAGATTTGCAACAATTTGATATAAAGAATACCTTCATTCATGATAATTTAGAGGAAGAATATATATATATATATATATATATATAAAAGTGAGGAGAGGCGTGATGAGATGCTTAATAAAAAATTGGGTATTATACAGACTCAAGCAATCTCCAAGAGCATGATTCGGCAGGTTTACTGCTTAAAATCGGGTATAAGTAAAGTCAAGGTGATCATACATTACTCATCAAACACATAATTTTAAGGAGAATTATTGCTCGATAACATAATAGTTATTAGGAACAATAAGAAAGAAAATTAGACCTTACAAAAATGTTTGACAAAAGAATTTGAAGTCAAAGAATTGGGAAGCTTGAAATACTTTCTTGGAAAAAAATTATCTCGATTAAGGCAATGTATCTTCTTCATTTCCCCACAGAAGTATGTGATTGACCTCTTGAAAGAAACTAATAAATTAGCCTCTAAACCTGCGTCAACTCCGATTGATCCCGATCACAAAGTTGAGGCGAATAATGGCAAGGATGTAGATAATTAAGGGTTCAAGAAATCGGTTGAGAAGTTAATATATGGCACAACTTGGCTAGACATTATTTATGTTGTGAGTGTAGTAAGTTAGTTTATGCGCAACCCTAGATAAATTCACCTACAAGTTACAAATCGAATACTCCACTAATTGAAAGCAAATCAAAGACAATGAATTTTATTCAAGAAAGGCGAGAGGCTAATTCTTGAAAATTATACTAATATAAATTACACAGGATTTCTGGTTGATAAATGTTCCACAACAGCTTACTACATGTCCTTAGGTAGTAATTTGGTCAAGTGGAGCAATAAACAAAATGTGATAATTCGATCAAGTGCAGAAGCGGAGCTCAAGACTAATGGCTCGAGGTGTGTGTGAACTACTGTCGTTGAGGATAATCCTTGAAGATCTCAATACAAAGTGGGAGAAACATATGAGAGTATACAATTACATCAATTCAACCATCAATACTGCTTCTAATCCGGCACAATATGATAGGACAAAACACATCGAAAGTCAAGGACACTTTATAAAGGAGTTTAAACAAACAATTGATCTGTACTCCCTATGTGCCTCCAAAGAAACGACTTGCGGATGCGTTTACAAAGGGCTTAATGGTCACAACTTCTCAACAACAATATTCAAGCCAAGAATGGATGATATCTATTCACCAACTTTAAGAGGGACTTAATGGTCATGACTTCTCAACAATAATATTCAAGTTGAGAATGGATGACATCTATTCACCAACTTTAAGAGGGAGTTTTGGAAAGCGATCTATTTTTGAAAAGTTTTAATTTAGGAATATAATAAATTCTTTGATATGAGGATCCAGTTAGACAAAATAATTCCCTTGATATGAAAATCTAGTTTAGGATTAGAGCATATCCTTTAAATGGGGATCTATTTTAGGAATAGAATATTTTAGTTTTATTATTTGCATTTTATTTCTGGTTCCTATATATAGTGAAAGTAATGTACATCTATATACATCTTGATATCTCACACACACACACACACACACACACACATATAGATATATATATATATATATATATATATATTTTTTGAAATATTACCTACTGTTTGTATATATATACATGTATATGTGTGTGTGTGTGTGTGTGTGTGTATATTATTAAACATATTCATAGATTCCATAAAATAAAAAATAAAGGTATTATATTCATTTGAAGCACTTGTTATTAATTCATCACGAAATGAATACATTAAAAATATAATTATATTTCAATTTCAACCAAAAAAATTAGTCAAATTCTAATAATAAAATGGTCAACATAAATGATGGTTCAAGAATTAAAAAAAAAGTTGCCATAGCACTTTTATTAAACTATTTACAAACCATTAAGTTTCAATTTTCTTTAGTTATTACAATAGACATCATAACTTGTGAACCACAAGATTAATGTTGTTCAATAATACAAAAAATGTGTTGTGTTATGAATGAAATAAAGTATCATTATTTCTACAAGGGTAGGCATGCTTATCCGTAAATAGATTTCCCATGATGGTGAAACCTAAATGAGGTGCATACACAAGGTGGTCATGGGGTTGGCTACATGAATTCTTTTTCTCAATTGCGTCCTATTTAGTGTCATATTTTCATTTAGTTCTAATAAATTAAGATCATTTTTTATACAAAAAGCCAAAGTCTTCCTAGGCCTACCTATGGCTTTCTTAATATAAGTCGAATATAAAATATCTACTCTCCTAATCGGATCATCAGATGGTCGACGCTTAATGTGACCAAACCATCAAAGACGACTATCTCTAATTTTGTCCGTAACAGGAGCTACACCAACCCTATCACGGATATATTTAATTCGCATTTTGTCTCTAAGTGTAAAGCCACTCATCCACCTGATCATTCTCATCCCGGCAACACTTAATTTTGTATTATGCTTCTCTTTTAAAGGCCAACATTCAGTGTCATAGAGCATTGCAGGTCTCACCAACGTCTTATAAAATTTTCCTTTCAATCTAAATGGTATTTTTTAATCACACAAAAGGCCCGAAGCATTCCTCCACTTCCACCAACCAACTTGAATTCTACTATTAACATCCCCATAACATCCCATCTATATCACCATCGCTTTTAACAACAGACCTGAGATATCTAAATCGTTCACACCTTTTAATAATTTGATCACCCAAAGTTACACTTCCGTCACTAGAGCTACTACTACTAAAATTACATTCCATGTATTCAGTTTTGGTTGAGCGCTTGCCATACAATAAAAATTGTGATTTTGGTTTTGGGAAGCAATGCAAAAGTAACAAAATAGTAAAATAATGCAAGTAGTTTCATCATTAAAATAATTTCATTTAACATCTTATATCATCATCAGCAAAGTTTCTTTTTTTAACTTCCACAACTTGGTTACTTGTAAGCCAACTTCATTCCTTGCTAGTTATATGAACTATATAATACGTTTCGCAAATAGTTCTATCCAGGTATATGCATAAAAAGAGGGTAACTGAACTTCACACGATAAGAAGATGATGCAAAAAAGAATGTAAACTACATAACATGATTCTTCAATTGTTCAATTCAGGTTTGTACATATCTAGAGCCTGAATAAAGTTTGCTCTAAATGAGTAGGATGAAAAAAAATAAAAATAATCCATGATGTCAAATCTAGACTTGCGGTTCCAACATGGGATTGACATCATATTTAAGACTCAAGTCAAATTATAATGATGTAAATGTCATTATAAAACAACAATGCCAAGTCAAACATGATTCAAGTAACATAAAAGAAGAAGAAATAGAGGTGATTTTAAGAAAATAAGACAATCATGACAAGCCATTTATAACTTTGAAATTAAGAAGTGTAATGCGAAGAAGATTAAACCAAGCAATAATCCAAACAGAAGCTACAAGGCATGTCCTAAAAAGCCAAGCTACTTACCACTTTACTGATGATGCAGAGATGAACCGTAGAGTGGTTTTTAAGGTAAAATCTAAAGGAGCCCTACGTCCTGATATGTGAAATTCAGGAGATAATTTTCTTACATAAGCTGCAGGTAGATCATTTTTAATGCTAGAAGCACCGATAAATGAACCAGGTATGGAAGATTTATCTCGAACAACCAATCCTTTCAGTGCTTTCTCCTATCAATAGAAATAAAACAAATAAAACAATGTATGCTATATAAGAATGTAAAATTATCATAAATCCTAACACTTACAATATCAACTTTTGTAGAATCTAATGGCTTTGCATCACCTAGGTGAATCTCAACAACATTACGCAAAGCAATTTGGCTACACTTTTCAATCTTCCTAAAACCTCGGTCATCAAATGCTTTGCTAGATGATTCAGAGCTCTCCAAATTTGCAGAAGATTCAACTTTACATCTATAACAGAACACAAATCATGTAGCAAATAATAATTCATTCCAATAAAAGTAAAAATTTTTCAAGTCATTAGTCTATATATA